CTCGTTGGAGAGATCCGCCTTCGTATCGCGCGGGTCCAGCGGCGGGAGGAGCGGCTCGGACGGCGATTCAACACACGCCGATTGGAAGATCCAGCAGTAAAAAGGTCATTCGTCGAGGAACTGGAGACCAGAGCTGCGGATATTCCTGATGGTGGCAGCGTAGAAGAGCAATGGACGGCGATCAAGGATGCCTTTACTGAAACGAGTGAAAACAACCTGGGCGAGTTGCGCGCTCAGAGAAAGGAGTGGATCACGGATGACACCTGGAGGAAGATAGAGGAGCGGAGAAATGCAAAAGCCGCGATAGAGCGGGCGAGAACCAGAGGAGCGAAGAACCAGGCCCGCCAACTGTATTCGGCTCTCGAGAAGGAAGTGAAGCGCTCGTGTAGGCGGGATAAGCGAGCGTGGGTGGACTCCCTAGCCGATGAAGGTGAGAAAGCCGCAGCAACAGGCGATATCCGTCTCCTCTACGATATCTCACGACGCCTGAGTGGAGCAAGGATGAATCCTAGGATGCCAGTGAAGGACGCGACTGGTCAGTTGCTCACCGACCCCACTGATCAGCTGAAACGCTGGTTTGAACACTTCGAACAGCTTCTACAAGTTTCGTCGGTCAACCAGCCATCAACATCTCGGCATGAACCGCCAAGAGTGCGACGCATCACTCGCGTCAATTCTGAGGTGCCATCCCTACCGGAGATCGAAGCTGCTATCCGAACCATGAAATCCAACAAGGCTCCCGGGGTCGATCGCATATCAGCAGAGATGCTCAAAGCTGACCCCATGCTATCTGCACAAATGTTGCATCAACTATTCTGCAATATCTGGGACACCGCGACTTTTCCGGCTGACTGGATGCAGGGCGTCTTAGTGAAGGTCCCAAAGAAGGGGGACCCAACTGTATGCGATAACTGGCGTGGCATTATGTTACTGTGTTGTGTTCTCAAAGTTCTATGCAAAGTTATCCTCAACCGGATACAGGAGAAGATCGACGCGACTCTCCGACGGCAGCAGGCGGGATTCCGTGCTGGAAGATCCTGTGTGGACCATATTGTCTCGCTCCGCATAATCTTGGAGCAGGTCAACGAATTCCAAGAGTCCCTTTACTTGGTTTTCATTGACTACGAAAAAGCTTTCGACCGACTCAACCACGAAAACCTGTGGGGCGCCCTAAGGCGCAAGGGAGTTCCGGATAAAATCGTCAACCTCATCGAAGCTCAGTATGAGGCTTTCACGTGCAGGGTGCTGCACAACGGAGCCCTATCTGACCCTATTCGGGTAGTCGCTGGAGTGAGGCAAGGATGTATTCTATCACCGCTACTGTTCCTCATCGTAATCGACGAGATAATGGTTGGTGCGATCGACCGTGTGCCGAACCGTGGGTTGCTCTGGCAGCCTATTACAATGGAGCATCTAAACGACCTAGATTTGGCGGATGACGTTGCTTTAGTATCACAACGGCGTTCTGACATGCAGAGTAAGCTCGACGATCTCGCCGAACGCTCCTCAGCGGCAGGTCTCAACATCAACGTCAGCAAGACTAAATCGTTGGATATCAACACGGGAAATCCATCCAATTTTACGGTAGCTGGTCAGGAAGTGGAGAAGGTTGAAAGTTTCCAATATCTTGGCAGCCAGATAGCGTCGGACGGCGGAACCAAGAGTGACATAGGTGCACGGATCAAGAAGGCAAGGGCTGCTTTTGCGAGTTTACGAAACATCTGGAAGTCAAATCAGATTAGTCTCCGCACGAAGATCCGAATTTTCAACTCTAACGTGAAATCTGTACTGCTGTACGCTAGCGAAACATGGTGCGTATCAGCGGAGATCACACAGAAGCTGCAGGTGTTCATCAACCGATGCCTGCGGTATATAATTCGTGCTTGGTGGCCTCACAACTGGATTTCGAATGCCGAGCTCCATCGACGGTGTCACCAGAAGCCGATATCGACAGAAATTCGGGAACGTAAGTGGAGGTGGGTTGGCCACACTCTACGGAAGAGCGGAAATGAAATCTGCAAACAAGCGCTGGATTGGAATCCAGCCGGACATCGCAGCAGAGGCAGACCCAGGGGCTCATGGCGGCGAAGCCTAAACAAGGAGATTAAGCAAGTCGACCGGAATTTGACCTGGGCCCAGGTCAAGGCGAAAGCAAACAATCGTCCAGGATGGAGATCTTTCACGTTGGCCCTTTGCGCCAGGGATGGCGCTCAGGACACTTAAGTAAGTAAGTAGTACGATGTACGCGGAGACTTGAAGTATGTCTCCAAGTCTACAGGCAAAAAATGTGCGTCCCTCTTTTGCTCATAAACTGACTGCGGCTATGGAATAGTTCTAGCGACGTTTTCATCACTACCTAAAGCCCCACGTTGCGAGAGCATTTCCAGTCGATGGTGTGTTATAATGCAATTCTTCTTTACCCAACTATTGTGTTGCTCATCTCGTCATGACCAACGTGAACGGAACTATCCACCTACCCTCTTCTAAAGATCTTTCTCTAGCTAATAAATTATCACACTAAAGCTTCATGTTAGCATTTCCAACCAACTCTGAAAATCGCTAACTTCGCGTATGAAGTAACATAAAAACACTTTGAAAGTAATAACCAGTGTTGGAAAAGTTCACCAAAACTCACTATGACTCGCGAACTTTTCTTTTGGTAAACTTCGTGAAATATCGCGAACTTTTCCAACGCTGCCAATAACACATACAGGTAGAGGAATGATTCTTATTTCATTTGGTATAGTTTGTTCGCAAGATTGAGCTTTTATTCGTGAGAAATCGGCGATTGACGTGCTTGTTTACGAAAGCAATTACGCCCAAATCTCAAATCACTCCGGAAGTTATACATGTCAACCACAAAAATTCAAGAAATACAGATCATTTAAAGTCAAGCCTGCTGGAATGGAATGAGGCTAATTCGGTGCATTTTGTCCCCAATGACATGAATCCACCGAACTGTCCAGAACTACGTCCAATCAAAACCTATTGGCCCATGATGAAGCGGGAACTCAGAAAGACCAAGAAAAAAGTAAAGGATGCAAATGACATGCGGAGGAAATGGATAAAAAAATGAGAAAAAGTTACCGGATACGACTGTAGGTACAAGCTCTTATGCACGGATAGAAATCTTCTTATATCTTTTGGCAAATTTCTATTGCTGATTATTCATAAAATGTATAAGTCAACTAATATGCAGACACCTTACAAAAAGTAAATGAAGAGCATGTGTCAAATGAAATGTATAAGCGGTCACACATACCTTTTATGCATTCTTGTAGGACCTATTTGGTTTGTCTTTTGGAATGTATAAGGCTGATGTTGTTATTATTATTGTTATTGTTATTGCTCAGTTCACACCCTGGCTGGCTGCTGCCTACCGATCTGCACTTAAGCCAGGCATGAACCTACGGAAATTTAGTCGTGGCCTATGCTAGACCGTATAGCATAACGACTTTCCTTTCACTAGCAGGCTTTTTGGTCCCACTAGCGTCTGATTAGGGGATAGTAAGAGATTAAAAGAATAAAGAAGAGAGATAGAGAATTTTGTTGTTTTGCTGAAATAAAAAAAAAAAAAACACACCGGCTTGTTGTGCAACATCAGGTTTGTTCTCTTTCATTCCGTTCCAAGGGGCAACGTGCATCGTCGTCATACTCAAATATCTGGGAACCTCCAGAGGTGCACAGGGCCAAAGTGAAAGACTTCCATTCTGGGCAGCTGCTTGACCTGGGCCCAGGTCAAATTCCTATCGGCCTGCTTAATTTCCTTGTTGACGCTCCGCCGCCTTAGTATTTGCCTTTGCTGCGATGTTCTGGCGGATTTAATTCATAATCAAACGCTTGCCTGCAGACTTCGTTTCTATTGCTATCGGCTTCTGATGACATTTACATCTGAGATCCATTTGTGAGGCCACCAGCCACAAGTTATATACCGCAGGCAGCGGTTGATGAGACCTGCAACTTTTGAGTGTTCTCCACTGGTGCTGCATAAATTCCACGTTTTAATCGAAGTTTCGAATTTTGATACGTTGACCAATCTGATTTGATCTCCGCTTTTGTGTAAATGTCATATTATCACCGACCTTATTACCATCACCTTAGTGTGTGACATCAGGTGTACTACCCATAATCGCATATCAGTCCCATCTTTGCTTGATTTCCTATCCATATGGGATTGATATGCGATTATGGGCAGTGTACGCTTCTCTGTGTTTTCGTTACCAATGCTGTTAATTTGACACGTTTGTTGCATTTTCGTATGTCTCAATATTATTCTTGCTGAACCTCCGTCAAACCCACTATCCAGAGGCAGCGAACCACCTTAACACCTGAAATTATGCAAAAACAAATTAAACATTAGCACCAAACCCAAACCCTCCCCTCCCTTCCCCGATTGCAACAGCTCCAAGACATGCAACAGGATCATTTCGTGCCCCATGACAACTTGATCCAGTTGCTTCCAGGTTCATTGTTTTGGCGCCAGCAGGGAGAGACTTGGTCCTGTACCAAATGCTTTCCTTGTCTCCATTCTGCTCAGCTACTCGCAATTGATTGTGATAGAGTGGGCGGAATATTACAATGTGAGACAATTCAATGCAGACGTCTTCCAAATTTGGCCGATCGTCAGGTAATCAGTGGGTTACCACCTGGCACCTCTTAGCAAGCTTTATGCTACAAAGCGGACCGGAAGTATCAATTAACAACCTCCCCCTGGAATGTATATAAATGTAAATAATTGATTTTCGTTTCGTGTGGATGGCGTGAAACAAAAGTGTCGGGCATTTTAACAAATAACCTCCAATACAACCTTAATCCACGTGAGTTAAATACATGTATAGAATCACCCTACACATTTGGTTTTTATCTGATAAATACGTGAAGTTTGAGAGCAAATTAAATGTGTTGCAATAATTTCGTGTTCGCCCTTTAGATTCTCTTAACCGATACCTCTTGCCACCGGTCTAAAAATCACGCTTCATAATTTTATCTCTATCCAACAGGCCCACTTTGCCAATCCCGTGTACGACTCGATGTACGCCGGCGGGGTGAACGTGCACGCCGATTCGTCGTCGATACCGGGCAACAGCAACCATCCGCTGTTGAATGTGTCCGGCTCGGCCCCGGAGGAGAAGAAGGGCCTGCTCCAGCACACTCTGGACGATTCAAGCGCGCAGGACTTGTTATGATATCGGTTGAAAAAATAGTAGCAGTTGCGATTCTAGAGGGGAGGTGATCTCATACTTCTCTCTAGAGCAGCACGTGGCTACTTGGAATCGAAATCGAAGCCAGTTTTTTTGGTAGAAGTAAGTGTATGTTTCTCTCATTATTGCCTAGAATAAGCGAGTTGATTTCGTTGCGTAACGATGGAACGGAATAGTAGTCATTTTTAGTTGTTAGACATTGTTTGTGAACAGAAAAAAAAACTCCCGTACGCAATGGATTTGTAGATAATCTGTAGCTCATACTCATAATTTTATGTTCTATTTTGTGAAAAGTTAAACAGTTGAAGATCTCGCGAATCATGTTCAGTCAAGCGAGCGAGAGTAGATTTTTAAAGTGGAGTGGCTAAGGTCGAGCATTTTGTCTGTGTTTTACCGGTGCTGTGAGACGATCGGTAGATAAATTGATGGTCTAGGTAAAATAAATTAGAATCAAATAAAATCTAGCTCCTGTTTTCTGTTAGATAGTCAAGAGTTGAACTAGGTGCCGTGTGAAAGTGGTAGGACAGATCGTGAAGGTCACTCAAATGAGCTTTAAATAACTTTACGTTATCTAATCAATAATCAATCCAGTGTATAGTGAATATCCCCTTTCATAGGCTATATATATGCCAAGACTATAGTCTAAATAGGAAATTACTCCTCTTTAAACTAAGATCACATAAAACGAAATCATCACTGCAACACACTCCTGAACAGCTATCACAATTTTTATGACAAAGCAACAATAAAAGAAGCTAACCATGATGCGAAATTTGTCCATCCACTTTTTGATAATAAATAAAAAAAAACTGTAGAACATAGCAAAGAATTGTTATTAAGAAAAAAATTATGCTTGTTTGTAAAAAATTAAACAAAGAAAACTAGAATTGATTGTGATTTTTATAAACAAAAAACGCAAATTAACGAATCCTAACGTTGAAAAAAAAAATCATAACTAGTTGACGGCTGAAATGGACAATTATATAGGTAATAAAAAACGAAAGAAAAGGGAAAACGATTCGTCCTGGTGGAACCGAGTGAAGCCGGAGACCCTGAATCGTGTGTTGAAAAGATTAATTTAATTTTACAAATAACGATTTATCTCTATTACTCACGAACGAAACAAATTGCCATTATGGAAGTTGATGCAGCTGCGCTCTATCGCCATTAGATTAATATTCGTTCTATTCGAGCTCCAAATATCGACTACACACACACCATAGATATCTAAATGCAACAATACAAAGGAACACTAAGATAATCAAAAACGAAATTAGTCCAATGGAAGGAGGGATGAAACAGAGGCACTTGTTTTTCCACCATGGACGGCAGCAAACGAACTAGTGATTAATGTACGATTTCCAGTTTTGTACCAACGCATCATCGTCAGGCGAGGGCGAAAGAAAAAAAAAAACGAATAACAAGTGGAACCGAAGACGTACGTAAACTCCGGTTTTGTCACGGAGATATAGGAAAATCGTTTAAAATAAAGACTGTAATTTTTCAAAACGTTGGTCGCTTTCATTTTTCGAAATTTGAAAGAAAATTCTTGTGTCAATCAAACAGGGAATTCGGTATGATTTAGCCATCAATTTCCGCGCGATTTGGAATTGTAAAACATAGTCTATTTCTATACTCACTGGCGGCACTGACGGACTCTCTTCGGACTGCTTCGGATCGGGATTGCCATCAGGATATCACTACTTGACCGATTGCTGCTCGCTGTTTTCGGGCCGTTTTCCGACTCACGTACACCATTTCGACGGCCCACATGGCGATCGTAACGATCGTGAATACATTGATGAACATAATGCTTAACGAGTAACTTCCGGAATAATCCCGGATTTTCCCAACCACTGGACCCATCGTGATCAGTATGATGCCGTTTGTCATCATCTGGATGCTGGATGCCGCGGGCAGACGCTTCAGCGGGATGTAGCTCGGTATGACCAGGCCCATGTAGACGGTGCGAACACCTTTGGCCACTCCAAGGAAAACGGCAACCACAATCATCTCGGTGTAGTTGCGAGCGACTAGAATGCCTACGGCGAGGGAAAGGTTGAAATGAGTACTTTTTGAGTATAGATAGTTAACAGTGATGGAACCCACTAAATCTAGTAAGTATCAGCATGCTGAGGGCAATCATGTACATGATCCGGGGGGTCAGCTTCAGCGAATCTCCAATGAAGGGTGAAATGAAACGGAACAGCAAATCCGCAACGGCCAGGGTCGACATAATTGACGCAATTTGTTCCGTCTCGTAGCCCAGATCGTTCAGGATGAAGGGTGTCAACAGGGAGAAGTTGATTTCCGCAAACACGGCGATTGACATTCCCAGCATCATGTTTAAGTATATCCGGTCCCGTAGCAAGGTGAGATCGAAAAAAGTGACTATCTTCTGCGAACAGCTTTGCTTTTGCTCCTGCTTCGGTGGACTAGGTTCCCCTCTACCGTCGACGTTACTGAAATCGAATTTGGTCGATTTTTGAACCGGGGTTTTCGGTGACGTTGGATTCTCCAACTGACGCATAATCGACGGCATTCGATTTTCGTCGGTAAGATCTTGATTCTCACTCAAAACCGGAAGCTTCGAGTGGGAAATGGTATGCATCGGAACGGAAAATTCCCGAACGCTGGCATGGGAACTTCTTCTAGCTCCGGGATACCGTTCATCGAAGAGCCTCATTGAGCTGCCCAAGTGAACGGAGTCTTCCGATTTTTCAAACCATCGCTTGGTTCTGGGAGAAAACCTCGCCACAAATGACTTCCGCCTGGACGCACTGTTATCCAACGAACCTCTCCGTTCTCGTTCTTTCTCCTCGAAAAGTTTAATCGAACTGCCGAGGTTAACCGTTTCGGTAGATCCTGAGTGAAACCACCGTTTCTTGGTGTCTGCCTTCGGTGGTTCCAGATTCTGAGAGTACGTTTTGAACAACAACATTTCGGCCGTCGAAGGTCGCCTCTGTGTGGGATGGAGAACTGATTAAAGTTTTGGGAATTATTAGGACTGTCATCCAACGGCTGCTGTCTGTGGGAAATTACCTTCACTTTTGGTACGAGGCAGAAACATCAACGTGGCCATCGAATCTGGCCGACGCATTTGCGATGTTTGCTCGAATCCATAGATGCTCTGGGCGTCCATATCGTGATCGGTAAAGTAGGTTCGTTTTTCCAGATAATCGTCCTCGTTGTCCGATTCCAGGTCCCATTTGCTGTCGATCCGCGGAGGAGCTGTTGGAAAAATCGTCAATATTCGACAGTGAGAATGCATAAGGGCAATGATCGATTCTGTTCGTCGATGTTCTTTTTCGACTGTTACATCACTGTATTGGACAAATTTCAGTAAATTGTTTTCCTTAGCTGAAGCATTTTAACGAGAAAATCGATTAAGAGCAGCGATCACCGCAGTTAGGCCTTTATGAATGCTCACTGTAGAATTCGTTCATATTTCTTGACTCTGCATTAATTGGCAAATTATTACCCTAGCACTCACCATCGACTGCCGAATATTTCTCCTCCACGGCTTCCTTATGTGGAGACAATACTTCATCATTCAGTTCAATCGGTAGCATGTGTCGCTTCACCGGTTGCAAGAGCAAAGCCGCCGCAACGATGTGCGTTGCCAGTGCTCCGATGATTAGCAAACAACTTCTGGAACCGTACAGTGACACCAGCAGCGACACCAACTGAGGTAGCAGAATGGGACCCAATCCGGTGATGGTCATCGCAATGCCGGCTGCCTTGTTCCGCCGGGTTAAAAAGTACGTATTCAGAGCCAACGAAAACGATGAATTGCAGAATCCCATGCCGAGAGCTGAAATTGGAAGAATATTTGTTGACTTACTACACTATCTGGCGAATAAATTTAAACCTTACACGCCATAATACTATAGGTGAGAATGAAGTGACATATCGTCTCTGCCTGGGAAGTGAACATGAGACCAAGGGCAAACATGCACCCACCGAGGGTGGCTATCCTACGGAAGCCAAAGTTTCTCAGCAGTGGACCGTTGAAAAGGCCGAAGAGCATTCCGATGGCTGAAGCGAGGTTGATGATGACCGAAGCTTCCGTCGCCGAAATGTGAATCTGCTTGAACGTGTCCTTGAAGATGAGACCGAAGCTCTGCAGCACGGGTACGATCATGATCTGTTATTGAGAAAGTCGAGCAAACATGTGATAAGTTAGTTTAGTATTCAGGATGAGGGTCTTGAACATTTTTATCTAGTTCGTTTATTTGGAAGGCTCAATCGCGTTAGCTTTACGGAGCCGATAATTTTTTGTTCATTGCTCAAAATTCACTTAATTCTATGCGTAGTAAGAGTTGGGCCCAATACTCGTGGCTTACCTGAGGTTATAGGGGTGCATTGTCAAATGATAGGATCAGGGGAGAAGCTAGGTGTGGGGTTGATAATTTTTATCATATAGATTTGTTGCATATTAAATGTATGATCATGCTGACCTGTGGCACATAACATATGTGGAACTCGATCATCAAAAATTCCAAGTGGTATAGAAAGACATCGATCTGTCAAATTGATTATACCAGCTGTAAAATGAGAAAGGGAATCAAGGGGTAGTCAATTATATTAAAATAATAATAACCTGGTTTATAAGTTAAGTTAAGTTTTGGTTGGTTTGCCTCCGACCTGGATTATAATTCTATGACTAGCACTTCTGAACTTATGTCGTTGTTCATTGTTAACTATTTATGTCCTTTATTTATAACTGCATAGCTGGATCTAACAAATTCGTCACCTTGCTTCACACAGCAAAATGTATATTAACGTTTGCATTTAAAAAAAAGTAGACACTTTTCACCGATATTTTATGCAATTACCTGCCACCCAACTTTTAATCCTGAAATGTCACTGTAAACTACCACTGTTTACAGCCGAACTTTGAAAGCGATACGTATTGTAGCTATGGCAAACATGTGGGGAAACTCCACGCGAATACTTGTTTAATTCTTCTAATTCTTAATTTGCGTGGGTACATTTTGACGTAGGACTACGTCTTTGATTTCTATATGGGGGTACACTTTGTGAAAACCGAAAATGGAACATGTAACAAATTAAGAAAGATTTTGAACGTTAATAACTCAGCTGCCCCTGGTCCAATTTCAATAACTTTATCACCAATCGATCAGTAATATGGCTACGCATTGATAAAAATGCTTCCGAATGTTGATTTTCAACAAGAAACTATTGAAAAACTGGTAAATGTTCAGCATTGTCCAAAAGCGTCGAATTAACAAACAAATCCACCAATTACCTACATGCATATGCTGCTTCCCCAGCACAGTCGTCAGAGAGTAGTAAGTAGACGAAACAAGTCGAAGTGGCATTCGCCTCCGATCCTCGGGTGCGTGCGAATAGGGAGCCATGTTCAGAACCTAACGCAAATTCTTCGAGATAACCACCATCCGTCGTCTGGCTCGCCGTGGTGGTGTCTGACGTATCTACGGTTTGATTTACGAGGTGTGCTGAAGGTGTTCCTGAAAAATGAGATCCGTGTTGCTGTCACCTACACTAAACACGCCAAGCGTAAGCGGCCATAGATGTCATCTACGTTTTTGAAGTGACAGAGACGCACTCTGTTTGGTTTCGGAGGTAAATCATCACCAACATTGGAAACAAAACGGCTCTTTTCAGGGCCACCAATCTTATTACAGAAAAGAGTAGGAATAGGATTCATCTGCCTGTTTGTCCATATTCAGAACCACCGACCACACAAAATGCTCATGTTATCAAACTGGAAGCAGGGATACAAATTATTTTGATCAACCTTGATCAACTTTGAATCGCCACGGCCGGATATTTTCGATGGAAGAAGCAACAATCTAGCATCTAATTCGACGAAGACGGCAGGAAACATTTCTGGATCAACAATAGAATAGGGCCCATAAGCATTTGTAAACAAACGTTCCAAAGCCTCACAAATCGAAGGCCGCTCACACAAACCAACACCAACATCTTGTAGGTAGAAGTTTCCCCTATCCGATGATGGTGTTGGTTTGTGTGGGTGGCCTTCGCTTTGTGAGTAAAGGGCTTTGCACGCACAAAAAAACACTGAGGCGTAAACCAACAAAATATTTTGTTATTATTCAATGCAAAATTTCTATTTGTTTCAGTTCATAAATAAGTTTCAAATGGATACAGAAGCCCATTTAAATCAAACCAATAAAATTGTTTTTATTGTTGTGTGTATAGTGCACGTTTCAAACTGTCAGTCGACATCGTTGTTAGTCAAAAAGATTCTCCACGGAAATTCTGCCTTCGATCGTTAATCTTAACAAGTAAGTTTAAGTTTTTTTTATGTCTAAGTATAAATTTTCTCAACTAGCAAACTAACATTTAAAATTTCAGTGTTGACGTGTGATAGGGCACAATTTGCATGAGGATTCGGTTCGGCTGACCAATGAGAAGGTGAAGATGGGGATTCCAACTTGGATAGAAGCTGAATCAATTTACCAGCGTAGGGATCATTTGGATATGAATATTGACTAGGTGTCAGAAGCGCATCTTCAAGAGAGTGCATACATTTTGACGTAGCTGAGTATACTGGAAACTTAGATGTTGTGACCTGGAGAACCAGGTAGGTTCTGATGTGGAAAGTGAAAAGTTCAAAACGAGCATTTTAGAATATTTTACTATTATAGGAACTCCTCCTCTGCCATTGCGTATGCTGCACTGCCTTAGGCTCCACCGAAATGCGTCAACACCAACAGCTGCAGCAGAATCGCTACTTGTAGTAAGACAATCGTCAAAATTACCACAAACAATAACGTAAGAATCGACACCATGGTGCATTGAAAGGCGCACAAGAATAACAAGTTTTTCCATCCATTCACGCACCAAATGCTTCAATGCAATAAGCTGATTGACTGTTCAATAATTTAATAAACAAACAGCGGATTAGTTAGAAACTTGATTGAAATCATAATTGAAAAAATATGGGTTTATTTTTTAATAATGACAGCTAATCTGACCTGGGGGTTTTAATAAATTTGATTTTGAAACAATATAAATAACGTTTCAATACCACTAAAAATGATAATTACCCTAAATAATGTTTCAACTTGATTTAAGTAAACATTTTCTCAAATCAATAATAATCGATGTTCAATTCAATAAAGTTAGTGGTATTATTTCAACTAATTTTGTTGTTGAATTAATCTATCAATTTTATTGATCCATATTCTATTCAAAACTTTGTTTAAAATGAAACATAATTTGTTTGGTTGAACTTAATTTTTTTCTGCGTGTGGAACGGTTTGTTTACAAATGCTGATGGGCTCTTTTCTATTGTTGATCCACATTTGTGAAGCCGAATATTTACGAAAGAGAGTGTCGATGAAGAGAATCGATCAATGTAGATAGGACCTATTGAAAAGTGACGCGAGATTTGTTTTCCGTACAGAGCTCTAATGCTACCGACGCCAGGGAGGCAGCTCCCAGAGATGTTATGCCTTAGAACATGCCGGTGGCGCCGACTGAGATTGGACCCAGGCCTGCTGGGGTGAGAGGTAATCACGCTAACCACAGACGCCGATATCTATCACGGCGAATGAGAACGACCCAAATTTGAGTTTAGTTATCTCAGAAATAAGAAATAAAGTGCAGGAACTCAGCGATGAGTAAGTTTGCTTTATTTTTTCACAGGTTTTTCCAGGATTTTCCAGGGAAAAATTCCCGAATTTGAGAAAAGTAAAGATTGGATTCACTCAGTCTATTGGTACTACTCCGAGACTGAATAAAATTTTCGTCAATTTCCTCATTTTCTGGCAGATTTTTTAGGTTTTCCACACGAAATCATGAGACAAATTTACTCATCGCTGAGTTCCTACACTTTTGGCGATTATGAGTGAACTAAACTCAAATTAGGGTTGTTCTCATTCGCCGTGTACGCAAAAAGAAAATAGCCAGTGTCGATACTTGATAGCAAACTACTCATAATGGGAGGAGTCTTTGTAGCTTTTATACCACTTGGTTGCACATTATTCTGCTTTAACCTAAAAAAATATAAAGCAGCGCTGCTGTCTGGTATCAGCTCATTTTCGCTTCGGACGGCGTGGTCAGCAATAGCAACAGTAGGTCGTGGCAAAGGGCCAATCGTCATCGCAAATTCTTCGAGATAACCACCATCCGTCGTCTGGCTCGCCGTGGCAGTGTCTGACGTATCTCTGGTCTGATCTACGAGGTGTGCTGAAGGTGTTCGTGGAAAATGAGGTCCGTGATGCTGTCACCTACTCTAAACACGCCAAGCGTAAGTGGCCATGGATGTCCTCTTCAATAAAACGGCCCTTTTCAGGGCCATCAAGCTTACATCAGTAAAGAGTTGGAATAGAATTTATCTGTGCTTGTTTGTCCATATTCAGAACCATAAGCCCCCAACGACCACACAAACTTGGAAGCAGGGGTGCAATTGATTTTGATTGATTCTCGTAATCAACTTTCTTTTTGAAAAAGATTACTACAAATTTGGATCGTTGAGATAATAGATATTTCGACATAACATTTGATAACGGCACAAAAGCATTTGTAAACAAACCTTCTAAGGCCCTTTACACGCGAACCAAAGTACGCCCACGCAAACCAACAACATCATTCGCGTGTAAAGGGCCTTAGAATGTTTGTTTACAAATGCTTTTGTGCCGTTATCAAATGTTATGCCTGATTTGATCAATTAAAAGAACTTAATGCTCTTCACATATATACCGTCCACTAGCGGTCCTACGTCAAGCTTCCGTTCGTGCCCCTAGGCACAGACCCTTCTACTTTTTGATCATAAAATTACACGTTTGTCAAACAGAGATTCAGTGAATAAAAGCTGAAATTCACGCGTTCATTTAAAATTTATATCTTTTTTTCTATTTTATTTCTGTAAACTTAGAAGAAGAATGTATGTACCAGTTTTTTCGTTAAACTTTTTCTAATTGTTTGGAACCAATTGCATCAACCTTTGAATTCATTTGGATTCGTAGGAGGAAAAATACGACTGCGAAAGTTTACTGCATACATTTTGAAGTCCAGAGACGCAGCATAATTGTGCAACAAGTGACCCGGTTTAAGCTGAAAATATGCAGTGTTTTGAGGTGCCCATTGTTCCATTCGCAAGAATTTTGCAAGCAGGACGATAAATCAAAT